AAAAGTGAATAAGCAAGCGCCGTTTCAAAGAATTACAGAACAAGAAGATCAACCAGCTAGAGTAATGGAAACTTGCCGGTTGGTCCATAAAGTATAACTACCAATGACAAAGCGGTTTAATTGACGTCGCAATTTGTACCAATTTAGCGCCGCCCGAAATTAATATTAACGATCGCGCGCGGACAGCAAGCCATGTCTCCGAGTGCAGAGGAACGAAACGGACCGAGAGGAAATTCGAAACCACCCCGGGGTGCATAATTCATAATACCGGTGATTACGGCGCGCCCTGACATCGTGATGTAAACACTCGTAAATCGATGCAATCGGTGAGAGACTCGTGGAACGAGCGAACGAGCGAACGATGATTCTGCATGACGAGAATCTTTACTCCTCGTAATGATAATCCCTTAATCCCTTCCGCAACGGATTGGCGCAGCCGTAAATTTTTGTTTTGCTCCGATCTCGCCGAGTAACTCGAGGTCTCGAACAAAATAATTATTATTCTCGTCGAAAGTCCCCTGGGGGAATTTCATGGAGAACGCTGCTTAAAAATTGAAAATTATTATGTTCTTTACAATATTTTTTAAATAATATATAATATTAAGAAGCTACAATTATAGAATAATTATAGAATAATTAACAGTAATTTGAATTGAACAATACGGCTTATTTCGTCTCATTGAAATTCTTCTGTCGAGAATTTTGTGAAGAATTTTGTTTTTTGAAAATTAAAAATTCTTTATAAAATTCCTTAAAAGATTTCGTAATATTATACAATCTAAGAATCCGCAATTATAGAATAATAAGCGACAATAATTAGAACAATGCGGCTTATTTTTCGTCTCGTTAAAGTTCCTTCGTCAGGAATTTTACGGAGAACGCTGCTTGAAATTTAAAAATTATAATCGGCACGCAATTATCATTTCTGAAATTAATTCATTTATATGAATATATATAATAGTTCAACATTCTTAACATTCAGACCGTAGTGGCGCTTTGTATTTAAAGTAATATATTTAACATAAACGGTCTTGTTTTCAATCTTATATTGTTTAAAAATTATAATATTCCTTAACAGTAATATATTACTATTACATAATTAAGAAATTGCAATAATAAAATAATAAAAGCGACAGCGATTGGAACAACTGGCTTACTTTTCGCCGCCCGTCTTCCGTGTTTGACCCAGCACGATTTCTGGACAAGACCGGCGTCTCATCGACAAGTAACGTTTCGTGATTTAGCGTATCGAACACCGGAAGTTATTGTTTCGGTGGAACACGCGCGATTCTTCGATCTTGTTTAATCGCGGACTCGAAACGCGCACATAATCCACCTCGCGTGCAGCTCACTGGACGCGCAGGGCACGACTGAAGAAGTAAGAACGGCGTTCGCCGAAGCGACGGTATAACGAGACGCGAACTTGTCAGCTGCCGCATATATAAGCGGAGGCAGAATCGGACATGATAAATATCGTTTCGAGATAGACGAATCAAAACGGAACGGGACAATAAATATTCTCATTGTGATAACGAAAATTTTTGAAGGCGCGTCCGGGATAAAAAATGCAGCAGAATTAGGCAAACATGTAATTTACATGTATTTTAAATAACTTCGCAACTCAACGTTCGAATTGTACATAACGTGCAATTCTAATTCGACAGTGACCTAATTATTTAGATGAATGCTCATTATTGTTTAACGTGGAATTATGTTAAAAAATTGAAAGAGTGAGTCAAACTCTTCATTAATGTTTCAACAAGTTGGAGGAGTTTTCGAATGTATAATCTGCGGTAGTTGTGAAATTAGCACGACATATGTATGATATAAAAGGATTTCCCTCAAAGATTAAATATATCTGTTTAAAAAAAAAATGGGTTATGGCGTCAAATTGTTCTTTATTAGCGATGAATAATTTTGTTCCAACAAGAAGAATCAAACAAAAAATATAAGAATTATTTTGTACTTCAAATATTTCTTTCTTTACCTCTATCATTGTAAATGTTAAAAAAAGATAAATGTAAAAATATAATTAAATAATAGTAAATATAAAATTTTCGTAAGAATAAACAAGTTCAAAAATTTGTATTTTTTGGAGAAGCTCTTTGAAATACTTATCAAAATTAAAATTTTTTTTTTATATTTTATGTGCCAGAGAAAACTTTACCATGAATTTTTGAATGATTCAAAAATGAGAAGACTTTTTGTTTTTCGAAAATTTAACTTTTGAACTTGTTTTTATAAAAAAAAACTCTTTAGTGGTATTTTCTCTCTACTTCCCTATAAAAAATATTTACGATTCTAATTTTATTTTGTTGGTCAAGCATCGCGCGACATCGATTTAATACAGCTTGCCGTTTGTCCGATCATAGCACGAAATGTGTCATCGATTGAACCCAAGAGTTTCGGCCACCATTTGTGGCGCCGTTAGAGCCCCCGACACAAATCATTTTGGTAATCGTCCGCAGCGTCCATATATATAATTACAGACTTTAATCCCACAAAGCCCAACAGAGCCAGTCTTTATCGCATGACTCGATCTTCGCCTCCCATTACACAACTACGCATCAAAGTTCGTTCAATACTTTTCCCGAAGGCTTTTCTTTCTCTCTCTCTCTTTTTCCCCTCTTTTACGCGTGGCTTCATAGGGGTTGATCACCCCTATATTTCCCAAGCATTAGATTACATGTCATGTGCACGATAAGGGGCGCCATTGCCCTGCGAATATAACATGCGTAAAAGCTCGACGTGTTTCGATTATAAAACGAAATATTAAAAATAAAGAATTTCTATTTGGAAAAAATCTATAACAATAGTAACTTAACAATTGGAATAAAAAAAATTTTTTTTAATATTTAAAAGTAAATGCATCAAGTGTATTGAAAAGAGAGAAGGATTTATTATATAATTATTGTGTGTGTGTAAGAAATAAATAAATAATTTTTTTTAAATCCCCTTATATATGTATAAGCAAATTTTTGTAAATCGATATTTTTTAATTTCATAATTTTAATTCTCGAATTAATCATATATATATATA